GRAAAAWKGKTTAAATATACACCAGCTTGCAATGACACTTATCATGGGATGCACAAAACATGACATGAAACTTGCTGTGTACATTGCTCACCTATCCCTTCCCCTGTGGGGAAAAAAAGTGGTATTTGAGATGGATGGGACAATATACAAGATGGTTATAGTAACTGACTATGTACAATCCTCACCCAATCCACCSCCTGTGAGAAAAAATTTGATGCATTCAATTGCAAAAATAAAAAAAGAAAGAAACAATAAAATTACTCAACTACAAAAACATTACAGAGAAAAGATTATGATCGACGAAATTACAGAATAGTCTTGAATCGCATGAAAGTAGTTTAMATTTTTTCATATTCTCTTGTTTTAGATATTGTAATTCATGTGGCTGTACAATAGAACCACCGCCAAGGGTGACTCACAAGATGAAGTCAAGTCTTATAGGAATGCTTGTGGAAAAGGATAGTTTTCAAAGTATGGCAGCCACACAAGGTGAAAATGCTACATGGCTTCCAGTCACTGCATCGAGAACTTTTTCAGAAAAAGTAGATAAAGGTATGTTATTTTGATTAATATTTTCAATATAAGTGGAAGATCTGTACAGTTGCCATAATTCAGACTTTCTGGTCCTGTTTCATACCAGAAATTATTCAGTCGCGCGACATCGAGCTGCGAATTTAACGTAAACCCAAATCGCGCGTGTACATCGCGTAATAAACCCTTTTAGCGATCTCTTTTACGCTGTGTTAGCCTCAAAACCATGTAATAAATTCTTTTATTCACAACAGCCCGTGCAAATGCAAGAGATCTGTGAGTATAGAAGACAATGGAAATAGTTTGAAATCTCACGAGTTTTATCTACATTTCTGAATATTTTAGCACACAATTGAGGATAACATAGCGTAAAAGAGATCGCGAAACTCGACTATTGTAATTGCAATTTTGTTGTTGCAGCCACGTCTACGGTTGGACTTTTTTATCCATCATCGCATTCGCTTCACTCCCAGCTTGAAATGGAAGCAGCAGAGAGGTCAAAGATAGAAGGTTAGCATATAAATTATTTCAAACATATATTGCTTACACGCTAGACTTGCCGCAAGTTGGACCCTCTTTAAAAAAATATAGGAAATTTTAAGAAACATTAAGAAGAACATAATTTCAACGACAACGCCAATTGAACTTCGCACAGAAACGCAAAATACAATTATATATTACACCATTAATGGTATGAAGCCAGAAAAATTAAGCGAGCGGGAAGCGCGAGAGTCCCTTGTATCAGGGGGCTAAAGGGACTTTGCGAAAGTCTTAAACTCTAATGCGATTTATAATATTCAGGCACTAGAGACAGGCGACTTCTTCTTGCCGCTGTAAGCCCAGGGCGTGGCTACTGGAGACAACAAATGGACCATGTCTGCGCCCACCTCAAAGCACACTCTCAGAACAATCCTGACTTTCGTAGTGTTATAGGCGAGCCGAGACTGGGCAAAATCATTACAGCCGCTGTACACGAGGACTTGAATGGCGAGGAAGTAACGCTGACCGTCACATTCGCAAGACGAGACGACAAAGAAAAGTGGAAGGAAAAAAGTCGAGCAATTGCAGATGGATTGAAGGCGTTCTCTCTAGGTAGCACAGAGAATCTRAACGGCAGCTATTCAAGTCTTCAAAGTAGAGGTTCTAAAGCAAAGACAAAGAAGAAGAAGCTGAAGTCCAAAGATGCTGGCAAAGATGTTAAATTAAAGCAAGTTGATCGCTTGCTTATAAAGGAAGTGGGYCCAAAGGGSCAAGGTCGAGAGGAGGAAATTGAGCGGCTTCTTGATGAAGGTGATTTTATAAAAACGCTGATATTGATGTCATATTTATTTACATTTTCTATTTTTTTCCTATTGCCCAGGTGCTGATCCAAACGTCTCATCCACTGATGGGATTCCTGTGGTCGTCATGGCAACCATGAATAAACACCTAGATTCCATAGCAACGTTGGTGAATGCCGGAGCAAACTTAAATGCTAAAACCCAGACCAAAGGAAATACAGCATTACACGAAGCTGTCATCTTAGGGGGGGATGGCGCGAAGTACATCGATGCTCTTCTAGGACTGGGAGCTAAGGCAGACTTGAAGAACGATGCTGGCCAATCACCGTACGATCTAGCCGTGACGTCAGGTCATGAAGCGCTTGTRCAGAAGTTTACGTCGAACATGGGAGATGAACTTTTGCAGAAACTTACAAAACCACAGAAARCTAAGGTTTCTTTGATTGATGATTAAGTTAGTTTGGTAGTAAKTATAAAGAAATGTCTCGTGAAGTAAAAAGCTACGCAGCCTGTGTGCCATAGAGCTTTATAGAATGTTTTAGACAAAGTGTGCAATAGTCTCGTTTATGGTTCTCTACCCCATATTGCCGATAGCCGTGCCTTTGCATCGAAGCGAGACAACCGTTGAGCGTGCAATGATAGACACCTTCTTTCACACTTATAGACACTTATTTATAGGTATCTATCATTGTATGCTCACCAGTCTCTCGCTTCGATGTAAAGGCACGGCTACATTTCAAGATGGCGCAGGAAACAGTGAAGGAAACTATAGGCTCATAACCATGTAAAGAGAATTCAGACATTGACATCAAAAGCTAGAAAATTGTATTAAATCAAACATGCGCTATCGTTTTAAATTTCTTAATATAGTACTTTCTAAAATATTTAGGATACTACGCGCGCTGTGATTGGTCGAAAACCATGTTTGATTACAGTATCAAAACACGCTCGCGCACGTCAAAAATTTCTTTTTTTCTTTTAATTTTAGAAAAGAAATAAAAGACGAAATTCCGTGTTTGATACTCTGATCAAAACACTTGGGATGTAGGGAGAGCACTCGAAAAGCTGGAAACCACTCCGCTACGCGTCGTGGTTTCCTACGCTTCTCTCGTGCTCTCCCTACATCCCGGTGTTTTGATCAGAGTATCAAACACGGAATTTCGTCTTTTATTCCTTAAATATTGATTTTTGACTCGACGAGATGTTAGGGAGAGACGGACTAAGAAAATTGTCTTAAAACAGTAGGTGTTGAAAATAAAACTATCATGTCACTGCGATAAGGAAAACCTTAACTTTTTCTTGACTTTTGCGATTTTATGCAAGACTCAAAACTTCGGAATCAAAGCTCTTAGATTGCCCCTAGTAACCATACGTCTTCTGAGCGTGCGCAGTGCGTCTTTTCCCAGTCTACTCGTAGCATCTAATGTTAAACCTCGCGACTGCATCTTACCTTTTGTTTTATTTTAACCACCATCGTAAATCGTAAATGTTTATGTCGAATAATCTATTTTATTACTAGAATTGTCTATTTTAAAGTAAAAGTTGGTAAGAATAATAAACGCTAAGGGCACAAGTCCATTGAAATCGCATTTGTTGGTGGTCAATWACGCCGGGAGATTTTTCATTGATACGACGTCTCAAATCTCAAACKTTTTAGTTCTAGTATTAACAACGTGGAAAAAATATCTTTAACCGATTAAAAATTGTAGCAAAGTGACTTAAGGCCGTGTCACACTAGCGTTTTTTTTGTGAAACTTATGTCGCGCAAAATAATGTAAGTTGCACGATGCCATGTCATACTAGAAACTTTCGTTGCAACTTAGCTCTCGCAAAAAAATGTTCAAGTTGCACGCGTAAATTGAAAATGTACGATCACCTCACTTTCTGTCTCGTTTTCGCCAAAGATGGCGTCGGGCATCTTTGTTGATTATTACAACAAGTGACAGCAGGACAGATTCTCGCTTTCTTATTGGTTTGTGCGCCTAATTGAAAATTTTGGAAGTTGCAAGAGACCATGTCACACGCGTTTTTTCGAAAAATGTTGAAAAAAGTAGAAGCCAGTTCTATTTTTCTCTTAACAAAAAAATGAAATGTTCAAGTTGCACGAGGGGGTGTCACACGTAAAAACCGCTCGTGCAACTTACAACATTTTTTTGCGCGACACAAGTTGCACGAAAAAAACGCCAGTGTGACACGGCCTTTACTCATCCTTGGAAACCCTCTGAGATAGTGGTTAAGCTTGCAGTGACATATTCCTTCATGCTATTCACACAATTATGGCAAGTTCGATTTATTACCATTACTAACCCGTTTTTTGAATACAGTATTAATAATATGTTTTTGAATACAGTATTATGCAATATGTAAACATTCAATCAAGAAGGAAGATGCTGCCGACTCTTCCATGTTCCATGGTATCTCCACTAACTAGTAAGATCTACCATAATCAATTGCCCTATTGCATGATCACGTCACACCAAAACATTATATTACGCTAAGGATGATGGTCGCCTGAGAGGATCACATTAATAGGTCCAAACTTCGAGTCTTTCTGAGCATCTATCCACAATGTAAACATACTGAGACGTCATTATGCCAGAGGGGGCAATCCATTTAACAGGGAGGGGAGGGTTAGTCCGACCCCCCCAGCCTAAGGGCCTGAATAGTGCTATCCATACCAATTAAATCCTTATCCAGCGGTTAAATTCAAAACAAAATCTAAGGAGCTAGTTCATAACTTTATTTCCTCTTCGTACAACCAGCCCTAATCAACAATCCCAAAAAGTCATTTTTACTTAATTGTCGTGTTTCATGGCTTAGTGCACTCTGATGGAATGATCTTAACTTGACCGTATTCAATGCCATTTACGACGTCATTCCATGTCAACGCATTCCCGTATGTAAAAGTATCGCAATTACTGGACATAGCAGAGATCTCTTTTGGTCCCAGTACTCTATTCCAGATGTTAATCCCGGTCAGCTCACCAACGAAAGACTGGGATTTCTGGAATCTTCCGCCCACTCTGTCCTGCTCTTGTCCGATTATCAGCGAACCTCCAGCTCTGGTCACGTGACCTTTCTTCAAGAACCCTTGAGCACGTCGAACGCCGTCTTTGTAGAGTTCAGTTTGGCCAGCGGAGTTGTCCCATRTTGCGCAGATGTGGTGCCACAGACCGTCATTGGCGGAGACTTTTGAATTCCTAAATCATTCAATAAAAAGATAAGATTTAATGTTGCTGAAGGTGAATTGAAATATAATTCAAATATTTGGTGTTTTATTAAAATCATATACTTTTATGTGTTTAACACCAAATAAGGATATTCAGTGTTAAATAAAATTACCATAATCTAGTTCCAATCCAGAGGTACAAGGATTTGGGATTATTCAACAGAATTTCATTTGTTGATCCTGGTACAGCGTAGCTTATCATGGTTCTGTCGTCTCGTTGATCTTTGATTAAGGTAMTCATCCAAAGGCACACGGTGAMACTGGTCATGCGAGGCAATCCTTTGTTTACCAAGATATAGTCGGTGACTGACTCACGAGCGAATTTGATGCCGATTTCTAGTKGCATAAAATATAATGGTTATAAATAGGAGAAGTTAATGCAAGGATATAACTAGAATATCACATGGTCCCTTGGAGATACGAATTTTATCTTCTCGTGTTGGAAATCTTTCACTCCGCGTGCGAGATATTTTTAACACTCTAAGATAAAAATCCGTATCTCCGCGCGCTTAAATGTAATATCATCATTAAAAAATCATTATTTTCATACAGATAGATTGGACATACCTGTAACTGTCACCTTGGTAAATCTACTTAGGCCGTGCCCTGAAGGATAATGAGCATTGCATACATATTCGCCTTCGTCAGTTTTTTTTAKTCCAGTTATAACCATTCGCCTTCGTTTATTCATAAACCGAGTTCTGTTATATGGAAGTTCTCCTCTTTCTTTCCTCCATAACATTTTCACGGAGTAGTCCTCTTTGGCTTTACAATCGAGAGTCAATGTGTCATTTGGTCTCTTAAATATCTGCAAGTTCAAATTCAAAACAATATGATAATGAATATAACAACAATAACAACAACAACAACAAAAATAATAATGATAATAATAATGATAATAATAATTCTGAATAATTCAGTTTTATTCTGCGAAATAAAAAAATATAACCCATTTTTCATATATGGAAAATCTAAAATACGACTGCATTGCATGCCGGATGACAATGGTCCTATAACAGCTAGCTGTCATTGCTATCGATTAAGTCGTATACCTGCGGGGGAGGGGCGATGATGAATTTTGGCGTCCACACAATAGTGATTTTAATTCTTGCACTCGTTGAGCCAAGAGCGTTAGAACCAGTGCATGCATATACACCAGAGTCCTGTCTTTTTGCTGCCTTTATCTTCAGCATGTTCCCAGTAATCAAGGAACCCATTAAAGGCAAAGACACCTTGTCTTTTGACCACGTGACCATAGGTTTTGGGATGCCAGCCACGTGACATGCTACAGTTACGTCATCTTCCTCGTTGGCGTAAATTGGTCCGACAGGAAAGAGAGATACCATTGGTCGGTCTACGGAAATAAAGATTCAGTCAAAATATTATTGAACATCAATGAGTTAGTTATTAGTTAGTTATTAGTTATTACTTAATTATTAGTTAGCTAGTTATTAGTTAGTTATTAGTTAGTTATTAGTTATTAGTTATTACTTAGTTATTAGTTAGCTAGTTATTAGTTAGTTATTGAACATCAATGAGTTAGTTTTTTATCGAAAAAGTACATTCCTTTGTAAAACAAGCAATCTCTTAATGTATATGTAACTACATTTTAGTGGTTTTGATTCAAATCTCGCAACAAAACCAGATCAAATAGGAGGGAAGCCTTGTTTTCACAATTGACGCAAAGTTATATTCAGAGGCATGAAACACAAAAGGTCTATATTTCGCAGTAACAATTTGCCAAATGCCATACAATCAAACAATTAGTCATCATGGTGGGAACTAGCGGTAAACTAGTGTGAGCTGCGTCGGTGTTTCTAATGAAACAGTTGTGTAAAAAGGATAAGTTTAACACCGTAAAAAAGTATGGGAAATAACTTACTGACGTTTCGGATGTTAATCCTTCGTCGGAGTAAAGGATTAACATCCGAAACGTCAGTAAGTTATTTCCCATACTTTTTTACGGTGTTAAACTTATCCTTTTTACACAATTAGTCATCAACCTTACTCGATTATATTGAATTTGTTTAGTCCTGCGACTGATTCAAGATGGCTGGCTTTGGAAAAGTTTGCACTTTTCCACGTCTCATTTCGCTCTGAGAATAAGAAATGCGTGCTTATGTCCGCTTGTGTCGCTAATAAGAGTCTGTAGGCTTAATAAGCAAAYGTCCGAGCCATAAAAACACGGTTGGGAGGGTGAGTGAAAGTTATCGTAWATCAAGACTGCCGTTGCAAAATAACACTACTAAATTTTTGGTTTTTATAATATGCATATGAYGTCTTCACTAGGAATCACGAATATTCAATGATGATTGAATTAACTTGATGTTTAAAAATTTAAAAATGGTYTTAGTTCTGTTCTTTTCACTTACAATTGACAACAGAAGGTAGACCTGGGTCACCGGTATCTCCCTTCATSCCAGCAGGCCCAATAGGTCCTTCCGGTCCAATAGAGCCATCCAMRCCAGGTGGACCGGCAGGTCCAGTATCCCCCATCGGTCCAACAGGTCCATCATATCCCATGGACCCTTTTGGACCAGGCAGTCCGGGCGAACCTTTAGGACCAGTATCTCCTTTCCTCCCAGGAAGTCCGGGCGGACCTTGTGAAGGACCAGTATCTCCTTTTCTACCAGGAAGTCCAGGCGGACCTTCAGGACCAGCATCTCCTTTAATCCCAGGAAGTCCGGGATTCCCATGGACGCCTGGTGGACCGGCATATCCAGGTTGTCCCTTTGGCCCAAAATCTCCCATGGATCCTTTTGGACCAGGTAGTCCAGGTGGACCTTCAGGACCAGCATCTCCTTGTTGCCCCTTTGGCCCAAAATGTCCCATGGATCCTTTTGGACCAGGAAGTCCGGGCGAACCTTTAGGACCAACATCTCCTTTCTTTCCAGGAAGTCCGGGCGCACCTTCGGAATGATCCCCCTTAGGACCAGGAGGTCCCCTATATCCCATGAATCCTTTTGGACCAGGCAGTCCGGGCGAACCTTTCGGGCCAGTATCTCCTTTCCTCCCAGGAAGTCCGGGCGGACCTTGTGAAGGACCAGTATCTCCTTTTCTACCAGGAAGTCCGGGCGGACCTTGTGAAGGACCAGTATCTCCTTTAATCCCAGGAAGTCCGGGCGGACCTTCAGGACCAATATCTCCTTTCTTTCCAGGAAGTCCGGGCGCACCTTGTGAAGGATCCCCCTTTGGACCAGGAGGTCCCCTATGTCCCATGAATCCTTTTGGACCAGGTATTCCGGGCGGACCAGCATCACCTTTCTTCCCAGGARGTCCCGGATACCCTTTCTCGCCGTWTTGTCCGGGACGTCCATCGACCCCATTTCGACCAGGAGGTCCCATAAGTCCGGGCAGACCCGTCCTGCCAGGCGGGCCGGGCGGTCCTGGGCGCCCTTGGCCATACACTTTACCTAAGGCGGAGTAGAGGTTTTGAAGATCTTGTGTAGAGCTTGTTGAGATGTCACGTCGGGATCTTGATTTGGATTCGTTCTGTTTAGATGATGGATCTGTCATCGAATAAGTAGAGTTTTAGAAAAACATTTAACAATGAAGTYCTGCGATAATACATTTTTGTTTAGAAAATTTTTACACGACGTTTCGACGTTACCAAACGTCATTATCAAGTGAGATAAAATGCAAAAGTAAGGATATATATACAAGAATAATAGTGAGTAAAAACTTCTGATCTGTCATCAATTCATTAAAATGTAACTAGGTTCAGTTTAAAATGTTTATCATTCTGTAATGAATCACCTTTTTCTCCTAAAAAATGTTTTTCATGAAGATTTATAAACCGTTTACCTTTCTCTTGACTGGCCTTGAGTCTACAAGACACCATACAGTTAGTCTTTTCTTGTATAATGTTGATCAATTCTCTGTGCTCTCTTAGAACGAACTCAACACGAACAAGCGCTCCACAGCACAGCACAGCAATCACTGCTGACAAAACGTAGGAAATTCTCACTGAAGCACCGCTAGCTTTCTCAGACATTTTGCAAGGATATCTGCTCAGCAACGCAAGTCAATGAATTAGATCGTTTATTAACATGGTCATAGACATGTATACCAGAGTCAGCTCTGTGGGRCACACCGGCTTAAAAATTGCATGTTTTGGATCCAGTCCAGCATATCCCAAATCTGGCAACATGCCGTTAGGAGCACACCC